CACCTACTCACACCTGATCCTCATGTGTCTCCCTCAGGTGTTTGTTGTTAGTAATTGTTGTCTGTGTATTTAAGCCCAGTCTTGTCACTGTGTCTTTGTCTGATCATTGTTGGTTTGTTTGTATGCTCCAGTCTGATTCATGTTCTACCCTAGCTTTCTTGTCCCTGATTTCTGTTTAGTTCTCTGTTTTTTGCCACCACATTGGCTTTTTATTAAATTTTTGTTAAAACTTTCTAGCCTGCCTGCCTGCCTGCCTGCATTTGGGTTCACCCTGCCTCACAGCTATAACAGAATGACCAGGCATTTGTATTTCTAGCAGGCATTCAAATAATGAATGTTGTTCTGTGCAGCTGTTAAAGTGCATGATGTTCAAAACTTGTTTAATAGCTCTTGCTCAACTGAGACATTTGATCCAGATCTTTAAAGTTGAATAAATCTCTAGATCTGTTAGGGTGTAATGCTACATGTATTTGTGCCAGACTATTCTGGTATAGTGGACAGGGTCTGGTGCACACAGACAAATAATACATTCTACAGAGGTGGACATACAGGAAACATAAAGGGTCACAATTTGCATACTCTGAAAAACACTGTCTGGAATCTAAGAAATGCTTTTAAAAACATCACCAGGCATTTAATAAGTACCATCTTTGTATACACAGCATACTTGCCGATAACCTAGGTGTGAAAGTTTTACCATTACATTTATTTTGTATTTTTACATTGGGAGATGCTATTCAGTTATGTGTTGACTTTTATTTTACATCAAGTTGAGGGCAAATTAATTAAAACAAATATATATATTTTTTGTAATCTCAACAAAGTAGAATATCTAAGTTTCAGAATCTTTTGTCATTGCTTTCAGAGTTATTATTTGATTCAAATAAGGGGAAGGAAAAAGGGGGGAAATGGTTTTGCATTTGTTCATTTATCTATTGTACAGGATTTGTACAGAACTGTGACTTAATGCTGAAATTTGCACCAAATCTTGATTAATTGGACAGTTTTTGAATGGGTATACACTTCAGTTGTTAAAAATGTGTACTCAATTACAAAATAAACAAATAAATAAATAAATTAGAGCTGGGCGATACGATGAAAATTTTATATCACGGTATTTTCAACATTTTCACCGGTTTCACGGTATTTMAVMGTATTTTTCTTTTCATCACAGCTCAGCTGATAATAAAATGTACAAACCCTGCTTATTGACTTTTTTTTCTTTTACTGTACCTCTGTCTGTGTCGCTGTTTCCCTCCTCTGTGTCTGTTCTTCTCTGGCTGGTGGTTGGAGACAGTAGTCACGCATTTTGGTCCAGTCGTGAAGGAGGAGGGTTAAGAAAAGATTATGATCGGGTTTATTGTTTTATGTTATTTATTAAAGCTTATCAGCATGACTCACCTTGCACACCAGTCAATTCCAACTCCACTACGAACTACTACCTGCAGGCTTTTCACAATAGAACCACATTAAGTCTCCATCAGCATAACGTCTCCATATTAACTAACTGCATTAAAACTAACTGTGCACATCACCGAAGAGGTGTTTACTACATTCAGCGAGGGGGAAAACGGGATGTTTTTTTAAACGTCAGTCAATATAAGCAGCGGAATCGCCACCCGCGGCTGCAACTAGCTGCTCCAAACATTAGCATGCAAACGCACATAGCGGTTGCAGCAAGGAAAAATGTCCCCTGGGAAACAACAGTTCATTGGCGGCCGCCACTAAACATTCCGCTATTTAAACCGGATTGTCCGGTATTCAGAAGATTCATAACAAAAATAAAAACCAGTATTCGGTACAAAACGGTATACCTCCCAGCATTAAAATAAATAAAAGTTATTCTTCATTAAGAGTACCACGGAAAATCCTGGACAATTAGATGGCGATTTGTCCAGCAGCTTTCATATGGTCTTATAAAAACTGCAGCCAGTAAAGGAGCTGTATAAGTAGCATAGATACAATTTCTTTATAAGTAATGCTATTTGAGATTTTAATAATTTTGAACTTCTCAGCAACATGTATGTTGATCGCATCTGTATTTCCATGCTGAAACAGATCCCCACAAACACATTTACATGTTTGTTGAATCTGTCGAGGCCCAGTTTCTCATGTTTTTGATTTTAGCAGCAACCTCACTGAACCACTGAAGGCATCCTTTACAAAGATTGATGGATGACTAGATTATATATCATTTTCATTCATTATGCTTGACTCATCTTTATTTTCTTCACAGGCTGCTGGTTAGTTTAAAGTTCCTGATAGTTAATTTGAGCCAATTTGTCGTTTATTCAAGAAGTCTGAAATCAACACTATTACACCTTTCCTGTGAATACATTTACTGACATTAATGCAAATCATGCATGGGGGTAGATGTTATAGCCTGGAAAAAGTCCTAAATCCTAAAAAATAAGACCATATGGTTACCAAATTGCCAGAGGCAAATCCTCTTTTTTTTTTTTTTTTGAGGCTGTTTACCTGATATCCGATTTAGCCAGTGACTTAATTTTGCACAAAGCTTTTGCTGCCAGGCAAATCTGCTTTGCACATCTGGACAGAGCACAAGCGTACTCTGATATGAAGACTTGGCAAAGTCTATACAAATTTATAAACTGGTTAGGGCTGCAGCTAACAATTATTTTAGTAAACAATTATTCTGTCACTTAATCAAGTACCCAGATATAAAAACTTGTCAGGTTCTGAAGTAATAACTTAAACCTATTTTTTGAATGAATCCAATAATTAAATATTGTGATGAGGTAATCTACACTTGCTGATTACTGTGCTGTAATCAAATTAAAACTACTAAACTATTTGTGTTTGATATATGCATTTTAAGCTCCAATTGCTTGTATTTATGTGTGTGAGGTTTGTAAAAGTAGTCATAAAAAAGTCATAAAAAAGCAACAGCAAAAATTAAATCCTACTAAAAATACTTTTGAACGTGAAACAATTACTCCAAGTACAGTATTGTATATTAGTCAAGATAGAAGCTTAGCAACAAATATGTGTTTCAGCTCCTGTTGTTAATCTGTTGCTGTGCTTTTGTCTTTATTTGGGGCAGCTGTGGCAAAGTGGTTAGGGGAGTGGAACCGGTATGTTGCTGGTTCAATCCCCACTTTCCAGCTGTCTCGGTTGTTGTGTCCTTGGGCAAGACACTTCACCCCCAGTGCCTCTGATGTGTGTTCCATCAGTGTATGAATGTGTTTTGAAGCACTGATTAGTCTCGGTAGGATGATTTGTACATGTTAGCTTTGTACA